GGGCGAAAACTAGAATTAGCTGTGGCTCGAAAAACCGCACGATGAATTGTGTGGCTCATAAGGGTACCCCAGGTGAGCCGGCTAAGCTTTTTGGGTAATTCGTCTTCATGTTCATTTGGGTGTGGGTCAAAAATGGGTACCCAAAATGGCTTGCCCTGGTAAGTGGAAACATGGACCAAAACCTGCGGTTTGCCCCTCCTGTTTAAGTTTGAGCCACACCCCATTGGGTGGAAAGTGCATGACACATCTGAACTCCTTCATTTTGGCCTGATTCATCCTTACCTACCCGCACCAAGGGAAATTGCGGGACTGTTTGATGGAGGAATTCGTCGTAAATCATGTTCCAAAGTCATTCTGCATCCTGATGGTCAGTGGAAAGGGTCGACAGATTTGACAGTCACCAACATGCTTTCATCCGAATTCAGGATGACTCACTTTCCCAATGAGAAGCCGGCCCGTCCTCGGACAAACTACCAGCTCGAAAAAGCCCCGGCACGAGGGTAATATTTGGACCTTTCGGTCAAACAAAGCCCCATTTCCTGCTCTTATGGCTCCGTGGTCTGTTGGGAGCTCGCGACTTGAGGCAGCCCTGCACTCTGGTTTCAGTTTCTTTTTTCAGGATACATCCCACCAGCTGCTTTACAAGGGGGGCATCAAGCCAAGTCTGGTGGCAACCAAGTTGTCTTTCACTGGCTGAAACGCGTCTGGCAAGGGCTCCTGCGTCCACACCGCAGCCTCCAAGCAAAGCTTGCTCTGAACACTTGGGTTAACACGCAAGACGTCCCACAGCCCTGCAGTGAGGTGAGACAAATGAAAGGCGCAAACACAACACTCACACAAGGTTCTCAAATTCCTTGACTAGCCCAAGGCAAACTTACACAAAGAGGTGGTTTCCTCCAAAAGAGGAACCCTTGGAGTAGTCAAAAACATGGAATATCCAACACCTCCGCGCCAGGGAACATGTATACGCAGCCTCCGCCAGGCGCTTGATGCGCTGCGAGGTGGTCGTGGGGCAAAGGCCTTGGCTCAGGGCATGGCGCTGGGGGTTGGGATGAACGGTGAACCTAGTCCCTTCAAAGGAAACCACAAGCAATGGTTTATAGGGCTCGGGGTTGGGATGAACCTAGTGAAAGGAAACTACCAATGGTTAATAGGGGTCATTCCAGCTCATTCCCTGAGCATTAAAACAAGTTAAAACAAATCCCCCTGAAAAAAGAGGCCACAGGTCTTGCACCGCCCATAGAACGCCAAAGAAAGTCTAGCACGGGAAGATCCCTCTGCCCCACGTTTCGCCCCCTCAACCCAACTTCACGCCGGGTCGCCGATAGCTTCCTGGAGCCGCACATGTTGCCTGTCGGTGCAGGTCAAGCAGGTCAATGAGACGCCCCAAGCATGGGAAATCGACGCGTGCGAACATTGCACCGATTCAAAGGATTGGACATAGGAGTTGGCACCTGTGTGCCTGGGACATTCGGCACCTGTGGCGAACAAGAACATTGAAGTCCCTTGGCTCAGGAGACGCAACAACCTTGGAAGAAAGCTTGGTTGCCAGCCAACCGCTAGCAGGACTGGATCACACCACCTAGGTTCGAACCTCTTCGGTTTTCCTTGGCCAACTCTCACTTCCTGAATGGGTCTTTGAACAGGTCGCGAGTTTTGTTTCTTCTCAAATAGTTCTAGGCCCCATTTCCTCTTGGTTTCCTTTTCAATTCAAACATGCACCAACCAGGGTATCCTGAAAACGCCCCTAAAAACACACCTTCAACAGGGCATCGATCCCGACGAACAAATCCCGCTTTCAGACCATCTCGCCTCAGCAGATCCTTCGCCTTAGCAGTGCGCTCCTTGAGAGCATCCACCTGACAAGGGGAACACAGGACTGCACCGTCAAAGTCATCATCTGAAAAACTCGAAACGGCTCTTTTTTTGGGGTCTCACGTGGTGGTGTTCTTTTAAGCCACAAGCAAGGAGGGTGATTTTGTGGAAGTCACTTCAATGGACCCAGCTGTGATGTGCAGCACCTGAACCTACCAAACAGTCGCAAAGGGGAAGTGGTGCTCAATACTGGCCAGAAGAAGCTGTTTGTTTACTCTCTGCTTCGTCACTGGGTGGTGGCAGTTTCAAACTGTCTTGCGAGTAGTGGGCGGACGCAGTTAACGATCCTTTGGTTTTTCACGCCCGGAAAACCAAGCGGAAACGGAAGGCAACTGCCGGGTCGCTTGGTCACAAACGCTATGCTGTGCTCGTGTCGCACTGCATGCGATCGAAGAAACAGGGGGAGCAGGAGGCTTTGGATCCTAGTTAAACAAAATGTCCATAACAAGGGAGTTGATTTTGTCGCCATCCATCAGCAGACAAGTCCCCGTTTAAAGACAACCACCAATCCACCAAAGAGCGGAAGAAAAAAATCATGCCCACAGCCAGGGTTCCTTGAAGGATAATTACATCCAAAAACCACCTGCTTTAGGGAGTCTTCTAAATCAGCCGGTGTTTGGCCTCATTTTGACTGGCCCCTTTAAACCACAAGGTCCCAAGGTCACGGTGGAAAATCGCACGACCCCTTCTGATACCATGCCATGCCTACCGGCCTCTGTGATTGGGCCATCCCTTTGGCGGACACATGCCCACCAGCCACTTTTAGGTGGCTCCCCATTAAAAGTCACTGCCAGTTGGTAGCCTCTTTTAACTCACTTCCTGAGTGGATGGGAGTCCAAACTTGTGATTTGCCACCAAAATGGTCCAAGCCCCAAAGTGACTAAAGCCCGAAACAGAACTCAGCAAGTAAGTACATACACAAATCTGCAGTACATTTGCTTCTATGTTAATTTCACATATGGCTATGGGTCAAAACCCCGTACCCCCAGTGAACATCCCAATCCCCACTAAAATAGGTTCTAAAATGGGTGGTGCACCGAAAACCCCAAAATGGGATTCCAAAACGGTTTTGACCGGCCATATTTGACAAATCTCCCCCAGCTATCCTCCTTTACGGCACCCAGGGATACCCGATTTTTGGTAGTCTATTTGGGTGTGGCTCAAAATTGAGCAACTGGGGTTACACGGGTTCTAGTCTTTGGTTCCATTTACCAGGGTGCCAGTTTGGTACCACTTTTTCGAGCCACAGCCATTTCAGTAGGGGAATTTGTTTCCCTCCCAACCAAAATAGAAACCATAAAAGGGGGATCTGAAGGAAGCCGCGCCTCATCCTCCAGCAGATCTAAGTCCTTCTCCCGCTCCTCGCAGCGACGCTCCCAGGCCGCCTCCTTCGAGTTTGGTAGGCGGTGGGTCCGAAAAGGGGCCAGCCTTCAAAAGGCGGTTTTCAGGGACCCCTATACTGGGACCCCTGCTTAGGTGTATAGGGGATTGAGGAGTGGCATGGGAGTGGTATATACCGGGTATGAACTAGGGGATGAACTAGGAGACTCCAGACAAACATCTAAAAAACTCAACCCGAAGTAGGGTGTCCGCAAATACAACCACAATTCCCCCCCCCCCTGGAGTCCAAACAACATGTGTCAAGTTTGGGCTGTTTGGCACCCAGAACGCATCTCTCTGGCCGCAAACGGATCGAGCCTGCTTTGCGAGGGACTTCTTGAGCTCAACCGCACGAAGGGCGACCTTCCAAGGTTCCCAAAGGCTGGGCTTGTGATATGCTCAAAGCCGAACTCTGTGTTATTCTTAGGTTTCCCCATTGGTTGGTTTTAACCGGGAACCAAGCAACAACCGGTTCCCGGATTTGAGGACGAACCCGCCTTGAATGGTGGCTCCCCGGATTTTAAAACCACTCCACGCTTAGTGCTGCCTTCAGCGTGGACACCCCAAGTCTTTCTTCAGAACCCTCGGTCACCTGTCCACTCTCACCCAGTGCAACATCGGTTCTGAGCTGCACCTGGCACCCGATCGAACTGAAAGGCCGAAGGCCTTGATTGCACGGGTAGGATTCACGGTGAAACGAACCTAAAAATTGAGCTCGCCTCAGCTTTTCAGAGAAAATACACGGGACAAGAAGCTTACCAAGTAAGATGAGTTCATCTGAGATCATCTGATGTTCTACTGAGATGATCTGAGTCTGACTGGTACAAGACCCTACAAAACACCACACACCGAATCGATCAACACGCGACCCGCCCCGGCAGCCACCCGCGCTTTTCTCCCCTTTGCCTTCGGCACTCGGGCACAATACGTACGCCAGGCTCAAAGCAAAGGTCATTCCCATCCATCTCCTTTGCGTCCACATGGGAAAACGGAGTTCATGGCTAAAAACGCTGCGGAATATGTTAAAAGTAGGCTTCTTTTCCAAAACAAAAACAACTACATGTGGAGGTTGCGCCATCTGCTTTTGCCCAGCTGCAAGACTGGAACGAGCCGGACCATCTACAAGCGGCAAGCGCTATGTATATGCCAAGGGCAGCATTGCTACGGCTCCACGATATCTCTTGCATTGCTTCAACCGCCTGCTTTTGGCATCTTGGATCAGGCATACTGTTGGTATCATCCATCGGCCTTCAAAGAAACAGATCAGAACTGCAGAATAAAGCGATTCTAATGCGAAGTGCGACCCCCGCGTAATGATAAACTGCTCAAGAAGCCAGCAATAGCACTATGAACTGACGCCCTTGCTCGTTGCAAGCAGTGGCATGTGCATCTTGCGTTGCCTTTCGCGGAGTTTAGCATAGATTGCTAAAGTAAGAGGCATGACGAGCGGAACGAAACAACACCAACGTAGCACATGACAACACAGCAAGAACACAACAAACCGCACAAAACCACACCACACAACGTCACAATGCAAAACAACATGAAACACAACACAACTAACCGTAACCAACCAAACAACAACAAATTCACCACGTAAAGATACACATACACAACCAAACATCCATCCATCCATCCATCCAACCAGCCAGCCAGCCAGCCAGCACAACTGCGCAACATCTGCAAGTACGAAGCCTCCCTACATGTCCACCAGGAGTGAAACACGTTTAGGTCAAACGTGTCAAATCCATTTCGCCGCGCTTGCAAGGCTGCCCTTGTCACAGGTGCCCCGCGTCAGCCAAGTGGACAAATACCAGGGCATGCGCCTCGGCTGAAGGGTCCGGGAGTTGTCCCGCTCAGTCCTGACCCCAAGAAGTTTGATGCATCAGACATATTGCGACACACCATGGGAAACAGGTGTTTTGAATTGGATTTGCGGCATCCACACTAGCCAGGAGTGCTTTTTCTGCTCAGGGCACATTGTTTGGAATGTGATTGAAAGGAAAACTGAGGTCGGCGTAGCATAGTACAAAAAGGCTCCCAAAAAGGCTCAATATGTTTTCCTTGCCAGACTAACGTTAGGCAGCAATATGATGGTTCGTGCATAGTGCGTACTTCAACATCCAACAAACCACACCTGGCAACATTGCTTGGCAACAACTCACATATTAGCAGTTAAGTGGGGATTTCCACCACTAAAAGCCACCACAAGCAAACATGCAAAGTGTTTCCCAACAACCACCATGAAATTGGGAGGCACAAGGCAAAAGCCGAGCCTCGCAGCAACCAACAGCTACATCCAGTCCAAGAGGCCCCCAAAAGGACAAGCAACCAGCGCATACAGATCCAACCCCCAGGCAAAAAGGAGCTATGGGTGTACCCAAATCATAAGACCCTGACCGGGTCCAAAGATCACCCGAGATACACAAAGAGCTTCTAAACAGGGCTGTGGGGAATGACCACTTCTGTGATACCACAGAAAGGGCTTCCCAGGGGCTACCTTGTTAATATAAAGGGCCAATTCCTTTGTATCACAGAAGTGGGGAGAAACCACTTGATCCCACAACCCTGCTTCTGAATGAACTGGCCCAAACCTTGTTGGCCCAAGTCCTGGGTACACAGAAACCCACGTATGCTTGTAAGGGCAGGGGCTATCCCCAAGCGAACGTTGCAAACCAGCAAGCTGAGAAGCACTGCAAGCATCCATTCATGCACCACGGCTTGTAAAAAGAGCTCACAGAAGTCTCAGTCGGGGTCTTGGTTCCATTCGCTTCCCACTCTCAGTTGCCAAAAGGACCCAGAAAAAAAGGTGATCACCGTTTGGTTGATCGAAAATGGGCAAACCAAAGGTTAAAGGGTCGACCCGTTTTGAACCACCGAGCCTTCAGCCACTTTTTGGCTCCTTTGAGGTGGGCACTGGAGCTTTGCATGCGCGAAACCGAAGCCGCCGCCGCGAGAGGCAGCCCAGCCCGCAGCATCTGGAAGTCGCGTCCGGGAAAAGGGAACCACATCGAAAGGCTGACCCACTGTGGATGGACCAAATCCATTTCGCACCACCAAAAAACAACCTGGAATGATTTGATTCCCCTGTAAATGGCAACGAACAATGGTTTCCCATGGCTTCAAAGTGGTGCAGGATTTTGTCCATCCACTTGGGCCTACTGAGCATAGAACAAACCCTATAAGGCAGCCGAAAGGGTGGGATGGCAAGCGAACTCTTTTGGGGCGTGGCTCGTGGTCTCACAAAACAGTAAGGAGTTCAGAACTCAGCCCAATAAAAAGCAGCCAAGGGTCTGGCTTTCCTCTGGCTGCTAGAAAGGCAAAAAACACATTCTTGTTGCCTCCCTGCCTTTGTATTCAGTGATTGGGGAACTTGAAGCCTACGGGCAGCTGACAATTCTCGTTCAACACCCAGCATGTGGAAGTTGAGTGGTCAGTTTGCATTGGTTGCAATATTTTTTAGCATGGACCGTTTCAGCTTATCGGGGCTCAAACTTTTGGATGTCAGAAAGCAAGAGAACAGAACGCATGCTGACACATCCCAATCCTGTGCTTGAAAAGGGCCCAGAAATCCGGCGAGTCAGGCTTGCTACATTCCAATTTGTATTCCTAGTTCTGTCTCATGATTGGAGTTAGGCCCAGTTATAGAATGTATATTTCCTTGTTTGCTTCAATTTGAGTCACTGGTGAAGTGAAATGTAAAATGTATCCTAAGTCTACCCCAGTCTAGGGTTGCTTTGATGTTGGTTCAGGGTTCACTGGGTTTGAGCCTCCGGCGAATTTTTCGCCGGGCCCCGCCTGCGTAACGCTGCTCCTTGGCACAGTGCTGGGCACTTTCGCCTGCTGCAACAGGTCCAAGCAGTCGACCTCCAAAGCGGAGAATCTCCAATACGGCGGGATCCCCGTTACCTTCAGGGGGAGAGGGGGTGGAGGGTCCCCTAATTCCATTTATCTCGTCTTCCCCAAGGGAAAATGGAACCATAAATGGAATTCCAGGGGTCGAATTCCCCCCTCCCCCAATTCCATTTTTAAGGGGCTGGGGATACGGCGGGCGCTGTGGGTTGTCCAAGCGGAACAACTACTGTGGATGGTTGCAAAGTCCATTTCGCACCACCATTGATTCCCCTGTAAATACGAACGAAGAAAGGTTTCAACCATGATTTCAAAGTGGTGCAGGATTTCGTCCATCCTGCAGTAGGCTCTCTGGGAGAGCAGATTCTGCTTCATACTTGGCCCACCTAAATGCAACATCAATTGGAGGAGACCTAAATAAGTCAGAAGGTGCAATACCTCAGGCTAAGCTGCAAAAAGAAACAAACGCCCTACAAAAGACAAAGCACGGGGGTGCCCTTGGTCAGAACTTGTGGCCCTCCTTGACATCCTGAAAGGCGACCAAAGGCAACACCTTCGGACCGGTTTCACAAGGACACCCCAAACGACGGGGAACATGGTTCTCGCTTCGAGCCCCCCGTGCATCAATGCTTTGCCCCGACACACTCCCTGCATGACTCGGGGTGGAGGGCCGGGAAGAATGACAGGTACTCGTGGCAACATCAAGCACATTGCCTGGATCGCCACGTTGCACTTTCGATTTATTTTTAAGCCCTTTACCCTGAAGGCAGTCGCAGTTGCCGGGAAAAAGACAGCTGGCTGGCGATCCAGGAGGCGATCTTTGAACCTGAAAAACAACTCTAAGCATGGCATGCTGGGCCAGCGTCCGGCCACTCACTTGGATTGGTCAGAAACAGCCCAAACTGTGCCTCAGCTCAAAGCCTCTGGAACCTTGACAAAAAATCGACCAACACTGGATAACCGAAGGCAAAAGGTCAACCTTTTTTTGGGTTGATCATTCTAGTGTGGAGGAACCCTGTCAACAAGACAGGGCGCAAGGGAGAACCATCCAACACCCAACCAAAGTAGGAAGTCCAAAACGTCAAATGGTTTGCTCTCGTTTGTGTAAACATTGGCAGTCCAAGCGTGAAACCGCAGCCAAGATAAGACATCATCTAAGCAGTTGTGCTAAATAATATGCCTGTGCAAATATGTTTGCGGCATCGTGTATTGTCTGCAGCTACTGGTGCGTCAATCGTAGACTAGGTCCGCCAGTAGAGAGGTTAGAATAACAGTATATACCCTTTTTGCTGTAGTCTATTTTTAGTTGGGAAAACCCTCCCCCAGAAAAGGGTAAAAGGGCACTACTGGGGGACCTAGTAGATTGTATAAATCAATCTTGATGAATGCGCACGAGCAACTTGCGCCACCCAACTTCACCCAGCCTCACAAAAGTCGGCCTGCACGTCGGTGACCTGTCCGACTTGCTGGCTTGATGGGTCCAGCTGATTCAGAGGATCATTTGAAAAGCAGGTGGTTTTTGGATGTCTCGTTTCAGGATTTCCGAGCCAGTGGATGAGTTTTGGCGGTCCATGGTTATGGATTCAGTGAGGTCCCTGAAATCGTGGTATTTTGAGGGGGCCGATCCAAGCAGTACGTTTGAAGGCGGGTAAGGCCACTATTTAGTGGTAATGTTGAGAATGCCACTTGACCGGATCCATTTTTCTTGGAACAGATTGCAGGGACAAGGGGTAAAGCAAGTTTGACAGGAAGGCACCTGCCGGACTTCTCCAACATGAAAGAACATTATTTCAGAGTGCCGGGCGCAGGGATCAGGCAAGCTCGCAAGTGGTCAGGACATGCAGGTATGTGTATAAGTACCCCGAAATGGGTTTGATTTTATGGGACCCTGTGCAAGAATCTTGCCAAATCTATCCTTTAAGGGACCCTGTGCAAGAACCTCTTCTCTCAAATAAACTTGTTGGCCATTGACCCCTCTGCGCAAACACATATTGTTGTTCTGAAGTCATACATTTGCCCCCCAAAGTTGAAGGCTACAAAGATCCCCGCAAACTCTCGCTTGCCCAACGGACCTGGAACTTCCAGGTTGAACTCTTGGGACCTTTCCCAGAAGGGCACCAAGAAGCGGCAACATGCGACAACCAAAAGCTGAGACCCAGTCGGCCTTGAGCCGAGAATCGCACGACTCGAACCCCCCTCCGTGCCTCGCCCAACAAAGGCCTCCCGTTCTCCTGCACGAACTCGATGATGGACTTGGGGGAGATGGACTCCCAAAGCCGCCTGAGCCAGTGCATGTGGAGCATGTGCGACTTGGCCGGGGGAGAGGCCAGGACAATGGTGGCTTTCCTTTGGTTCCAAAAAACACGAGGTCCTCCAGTACAGAGGTTACAATAAGGGTACCAACTTTCTTCTGCAGTCTGCTTTAGCAGTCTGAACCCTCCCCCCAAACAAGAAACCGAAAAAAAAAGGCACAACTGGAAGACCTAGAACATGTTGCTGGTTGGAAGGGCAAAAGAAGGAGCATAAAACAGCAACCTACACGAGCGAAGTCAGGCCAAGCCTTTTGGCGTGTCGACCATTTTCCTTTTCGTGCCCCTGCATTTTTTCAACGGGAAAGGAAAGCAGCTATTGTTGGGAACCGGACCGCTATCAAGTGGTCTTCCCAAGTTCAGGAGGAATAATTACTTGTTGAGAAGCCTGAAGGTGGACACGTGCCAAAGCAAACAGATGTGACAAATTCAAGAGGTTGGCAAGTTTCGGGGCCATAGTCATTTCACTTTCGTGGCTCATTCATACAGACTTTTCAGTGGATGGCCCAAAAAAGTCCAAGCTTTATATTCACCACTAACATGGTCTTCCCAAAAAGCTTAAAGTTCATGAGCTCAGGAAGTGAGAACTTGACTTGCGAGGCACCTTCACAGCTCAATGCTTGCAGGGGCTAGACGAAGCCCTGGCTTCAAGCCCGGAAGTCCGGCTGGGATGTTGGGTGTCACCCCAAAGCCTTGCTTGCGCGCCCTGGAAAGTCGGTCTCCTCTGGGGCCATGCGACGTGAAAAAGTTGGTGACTGTTCACCACCTTGTCTCGACCCTCGGCTGTAATTTTTTGGGTGGCCCGGGTGAAAACCCGAATTCGAATCCGCCAAACCCCAAGGAATTTTAGAGGGGTCCACTGAACTGGGAGGCCAAGAAGGGGCAGGGGGGAATGGTTCAACGACCCACTTTAGACAACCGAGCATTCCGAATGAAAGGTCCCAGCCGTCCGGAGAAAAACAAATACATTACACCACCAGCTGTTTTTAGGGAACCATTTGTCTCCAGTTGGGGAACTCCCAAACAAAAAATGGCTGGTGTGCTGTTCTTTTCCTTCAAACGACTTGAACGCGCCCCACTGCGCATAGCATTGCCCGAACAAAGCACTTGGTGGGGGAACCTGGTCCATATGGTCCATCCAATTCCATTTTGGCCAAAATCGGCTCGCAAGCGTACCCCAAAAACACCCCCCCGACTGACCGCTTTCCGCAGCTCAGCGGCTGCGCTGCTTCGCCCCCGTCGGTGGCTCGGCCCTCCTGCGGCTGACCGCTTTTTCCGCCAACCCGACTGAGGCTTTGCCCTGTTTTTTGTTTTTTTTGCCGGAACAGACGGTGTGGAGTAAGGCAACCAGGAAACAATCAGAACATGTCTGCATGAAATGTGTGTATGCCTGTGAGGGCTTGCCACCAGTCACTGGAACTCGGTGACCAGAAATGGACTGGGCGGCTTCTGGAAGCTCCAGGACCTCGAGATGGAAGACTTGGTTCCATTACAGAGGCCTTCTAAAAGCTTTCATGGTAACCTGAGAGAGTGTAAGGCTCATGAAACATCATGCTTGTTCGATCAAGCATCCAGATATGCGCGGGAGAAAATTCTTGACACCCCCTGCTAAGCGGTAGCCAGCGCGGCATTCGCTATTCTTCTTCCTGCCCGCACGTGGAGATATATTGGACCAGCCGCTAGATTTGCAGCACTCCCCCCAAACAACGCCTTGGGAAACGGCAAAAATCGATTTGATGGCGATGTCCTACTGGGAACTGAAGCTCTTGGCATTTGCCGTGCAAAAACGATGCGCCCGGGTTTTGCCGTCATTGAAGGTCGCATGAGCGCCATTGCAGGCCCCCAAAACCAACCAGTGACTTACAGGGGCCCAATAGGGAACAAACACACCCACACTAACACATGTCCCAACTTTCAAGGCAACAGTCACAGCTCCGGCAGGCTTCGGTGAAAGTCCTGGGAAAAGCATTGCCTGCAGGGTGAGGATGGGTTCGAAACCATGCCCTAAACAATCTCAAACGCGAGGCAGCATTGCGTGCCACCTACCCGGCCGCATGCGCCCACCTGGGCATCGAAGCCCCCCAGCCAGCGGTTCAGCACAGGCCGCAGCGCCCGCGCGGTGATGGTCTGCATGACCTGAAGCCATGAAGCCGTCGGCCGTCAATCGGCCGGTTGGAGTCAAGAACTGGGTGCCTTTGAAATGCAAGTTCCACCCGGAGCAATTCTAGAATGGAAGTGCGATTGCAATGGGCTTGAAAGGCGCAAGGCTTCAAGCAGTCGCTCAAAGGCCCCACAACTGGCAAAAGCAAAGGCGCAGCCTCGCAGAAGAATGTGATCCTTTTCGCATGGCTGACACGAAATCTGCAGCTTCACTAACTTTCAGGAGCAATGGCACCCTGATCTTGGAAATTGCAAAAAACTGAGCTGCCGGCCATGTCTGGCTGCTTCAGAACTTCATCTGGAATGTGCCTCATCCCACAGCTTCTGTGTGCACCAAACCCGCCTCTTTATTGCACTTATTCGGGCTACTGGCAAGCCACGCAGTGCTGCATTTGGGGGGCCTGGTCCGAAACCCAAAAGCGATGGGCCATTTAAACCACCATTAAGCCAATAAGGTTAATAGAACCACCATTCTTTATCCAAGGACTTTCATCATCCAAATTGGGTCAACCATTCTTTTTTAATCGGGGTTGCACCCCACAGTTTTGACCCAAAAGGAACGCACCTACCAATTGCCCTGTGAAAGAGCTTCGTCTCCAAAAGGCTTTGTTTGCCAACTCCCAGGATTGTTGAGAAAGTTGCTAGGCTTCCGGCGTCCTCTTGCGTCTAGCTTCAAGCTTAAATTACCCTAGGCGATGTCCACTTCGGACTCTAGCCTCCCAATTCAAGGGTCGCTCCGCTGTGATGGATTGCCCCAATTTCAAACGACTTCGTTGGTCTATCTCTCTCTTCTTTCTCTGATCGAAGTAGGACAAAGGACAACCTGTCACCCATGGAAGGTGTCGAACCTGCGACAAGAGGGTTTCGGCCGCTGTTCGCCCGCCACTCTTCAGCTTGATTGTTCCAAGCTACACTGCTTCCCAGAACGCCTCTTTACACTTTCACTGCGCAGTCCTGCAAGAATCCAACCAAACGCCTCGCAAATTGCATTTTGCTTACATTGCTTACACGGAGCTTCAGCTGAATTATTGGCTTCCATACGCGGGGCCAATGAGCAGCACGTGCAACACACACACACACACATTAGCACAAACATATGAACAATGGACCCAACAATACAAGGCACAAAGGGATTTGTACAAGGGGGGGTTGGGTGTCCATATAAATATATATATATATATAAATACAAAACAAAAAAACTTTGCCGACATTGGCTTCTCCAAAATCAACCAAGACGCTCATTCCGCAGAAACATGGACAACTTCTCGCTGAAGTGGTTGCAGTTGTGCGTCCTGAGGCTCACAGCTTAGGACTGAGCCTGGGCGAAGGGCCCTAGGGCAGGGTATGTGAAAGTCAGGTTTGCCTTTCCCTAGTCGAAGCGAAGCCCCTGGTTGACCGCCATGGCCCGACCGTTTTTGAAGCTGATGCAACCGTTCTTCGGTAGGAAAGGCTAAATCCAGGGCTCTGAACGACCAACACCACACCAGCGAGGTGAGCATTCGTCAATCTTAGTGAAAGCTCACCCGCCCTTGATTCATTCAGACTGCCAAATAGCGTCATGTAGCACGATGATAAAGACATCCCAAATGGCTCCCACTAAGCCTCACCATCCCTCCTCAAAGAATCGCCTCCCTCCGAGCCAAATTAAGGCTTCCCTGTCACAGCTTGCGTCTCCCAAGGCCTGGATACATCACCCCCTTCTTGACACCCAGCGCCATCTAGACTTCTACCACATGTGTGACATGTAGAAGCACGTGCCGCATCTCCATGCAAACCAAAACATGCCCTGGAGCGAGACATGACAACAAAGGGCTTCGCGTGGTAGTTGGTTGATGCAAATTGTTTCTTCCCAAAGCTGAAATCTCAGCAAACCAGAGCCAGCGGGAACCCATCCATCTTACAGCAAGCCAAAATGACTGACTCGACCTAACCCCTCAGGCGCCCACAAGACGTCGTAGTTCTCCCTGGTAAACTCAGAAGCACAGTGCCTGGCACATGCAAAGGAGTTCGAAGTGCTACACAGTGGATATCCCCAAAAATGAAACTAGAAGCATAGAACATGAAGAAACTGCCGAGTCCTACGGTCCGAGTCCCTCCCCGCCCATGGGCAGCGCATTTCACCAGACGTGGGAAACCCCCAGACGACCCACGCGGCGTGGAAATTCAAAGCTCGCTCTTTTGGGACATAACCAACAGGCCAATGCTTCAAACAGGAACACTAAGAGATGGTCGGCCTTGGTCGGCCTTGGTAACGCGTTCTTAACACATCCTTCCCCAAAACTGGGCCCACATCTGGGCTACACAGAAAATCCCATGTTGGTGAGCAGGGAGTGAAGGACTGACCCCTATAAAACAATCCCTTGTGGGTCCTTTTTGCGGACCAAACCAGAAGGTTCTATTCCCAGAAACACGGAACCCACAAGGGGGGTCCATATCCCAAGAGAAGGTGTTTTCGGGTTCGATGTCAATTTGGGGAGTGCCTGGGATCCCCTTCGCAACTGCGCCCTGACCGGTGCCCGCGGCGCCTGGTCAAAAACTCCCAGGTCTCTGTGCGCTTCTTGTAGGTGTGCCCCAAGAACCTGGCAGATCGCCCGACGGCTCCCCGACTTTTTGCTGCGCTCGGACGTCTTGTTTTTGGATGCGTCCTCTGTTTTGACACCCAACTCGGACCCCCGAAACCAAAGCAGTCTTCCATACAAACGAAATGCTTGGATTTGGAGGAGTGAGGAACAAAGACTACCAGGTTGTCCGATTTTGATTTATGGGAGAAGCGCAAGCCGCTGTACCCCATGGAGTTTGTTCTTAAAGAGTTTGCAAGGACCTAAGCCACTTGACAAGCTTCCGCACGCTAAGTTAAAACCCGCTCTTCGCCAGAATGGGAAGGAATGGTCAAAACTGCTTTAGCTAGCTCACCGGCAAGTCGAAACTGAATTTCGACCACCAACAAGCTCAAAGTTTGCCAACGGAAAAGCTCTAAACCCCACATGATCGAATGCTCCGACGTGAGGGCTCTTGAAAGCAAGTTGACTCCTGGAAGGAATGCAAGCCAATTCTTCAGGACGCATAAAACGAGGACTGCCTGCTGCACCCCCCCCCCCCCAACAGAAGCGAACTGAATTCCAAGGACAGAACCTTCTTCTCCTTCGCGTTCTGCGGTTCAGTAAACTTATTGCCAGCGCCTGCACAACGCATGGACCAAAGAAGGGTGCTGCAGTGTGATGATCCGCCCAGGCCCCCCCCAGCACCTCTTCTCCATTGGCTCACCAAAGGGGGTGGTCCTTAGGATTCGCCCAGCTGGTTGAAGGTGAGCAACATGTCTACTGTGCTTATACTGTATGTCTTCATGGAGTAGAAACTGGAGGGGGGGTAGGATCCGCAGAGAAAAAAAGAAGAAGACAAAAAAACACTGTTCTTGCACTTGATTCTTCCCATCACCCCAAGACAACAACAGGCTTGTTGCAAACTTGGAGGGCCCTATTCGAGCGGCTGCTTCCTTCAGAAACTGGAAAATGCTTGGAAACTGGGAGTACGCCATAGGGGCATATTTTTGCGCCTTCATCACTGATGAAGCTAGACAATAGGGCAGCTATATGATATAATTTGAATTGACAGATATTGACAGCAGCAACAGGCTCATGTGATTACGAAGAACGCCTTGCTACTGCCCTGCTACGAATCGAACGACATGCATGATCGATTCTAAACCAGGTATCGGCTCAACACCCCGCCGACATCACAAAGAACTGTCAAGACCCACCAAGCCAAAACCGCAGCACCACGCAGCAAAACGGCCGCGCATGGCCGCGCCAAACTCAGGCGAACAAAAACAACTTGGGCCCCGCTTGACTGCATTGAGCAAAAACAAGGCGGCCGAGATCACTGGCAGCTCAATTTCCATTGCTGGATAAAAATATTGCCAGAATTTGGGAAGAGGCAGGTGCAACCTGAGGTTGCAACCTGGGGGCGTTGTGTGCACACATTTGCCCAGATATTACCGCAATATATTTTTTGCCCCTGCAACTCTTTGCAGGGGCACTGGACACAAATCAACGTCAGAAGGCCATGGGAACCAACATGCGAATCAAAAGAACCCCATGAGATGGGTATGTGTCTTAATACCGGGATTGGAACTATGAAATCCATGATTCATTGATAATTTAAATTGAACTGCGCATGTCAGTACGGCATACTATGTATACTCATAGAAATTCGGTATATCTATCATATAAATACTCATATGCCCCCGCAATGGTTCTTTTTCTCTTGGATTCCCTTGAAACCAAGGCAGCAAGTGCACCATCAAAAAACTGGATCAAGTCATGAGAGCAGGGCAGGCTTGGACACGTTTGTCCTCTTGCGAACAAACACATCAGTTCGCACAACAGCCAAAGTAGTTCTATTTCTCACCTCAGTCACCGACTCATGGGAAGCTTCTTGAGGACGCACTCGCTCAAACCAACCTCAAAACCACCCAAACGGCCACTGAAAATGAAACCAAGTCTTCAGGCTTTCTGGGATTTTGGCCAAAAGTTGAACTTTTGGTGGGCTAAATGGACCTCAGTTGCCCAAAGGACCTGGACAAAAAGGTTAGCCCTTTGTGGCCATGACTAAATATGGACCAAAATGGGAAAACCAAAAGGTCAGATCCGGTCGATTCGCTTTGAACAACTGAGGGAACCCCCACCTTAAAACCCGAGGATTCGCCCCCCAAAAAAAGCCGAAGGAACCGGAGGCTTCGCTGGGCTCCACGCCCCGGCTTCGACTCAAAGATCTTGCCCCCGAACCAGAACTCCGAGCCTGACGGACGGGGGCACAGTTTATGAGCAGCGCCCGCAAAAAAAACAAACAACATAAAATAAAGAAGAACAAAAACACTGGCCTGTGTTTCAACGATCATGGTTAGGTTTATATGGCCTGTATATGGGACTTGTTGTTGCAACGATCATGGTTATAAAGGTTTGATATGGCCTTAATACTAGAACCCTCACTTAAACTAAGTAGTGGAAACAACTAGTTTATTTGAGCTTTACTATAACCCTCAAATAACCCAGGTAGTGAAAAACACTACTATAATGAGCAAGCGGTGTTTTGGGCGTTGCAAAGTTTGTGTGAACCGGCATGTTGCCTTTTGGCATCTGGAGCAATGGATTCCGTTTAGCTTTCTTCGAATCCGCAAGAAGGCTCACCCACTTTAGAGACAGCGAGTTGTCCCGACCGATCTGTGCTGCACCAACTCCTGTGACATAAATTGCTGCACAACCAGCCTGACCAACAGCTCAGACAGCGATGATTAAGCAAAACCCTCACACACAAGTACACATGAGGCAACCGAGTGACTAGACCACCAGTTTGTGGTTGGCTCATACTCCAATTTTATCTTGTCGAATGCAAGACTTGTTTCCCATTAATACATCATGCAGCCTGAAGAGGGCGTTTACTGCCATGGACTCTAGCACTCCAGCAAAGGGCCATCAAAGGCAGGGGTGGCTATCAAGGACACCGACTGGTAAAGTTGGGTGTGGTTTAAGTCATCCCCTCATCCACATGAAGAGAATTGTGCCACCTCCACTTCTCAACATCCAACCCATTTCGCATCAAACATTGGTGCAAGCTTGAGCGCGGAGGTCCAAGACAGGGAGGGAGGGTTCCTGACAGACGTACTTGCGGGCCTTGCTGCGAACGAGCAAGTAAGCAAGTGAGTGGGAAGCGAGTAAGCTATATGTCTAATTGAGCAAGTGAGGTGGAGCCGAGCGCGTGAGTTGAGCTGAGCTAAGCTGAGTCGAGCCCGGGGCCATGGAATCCTTGCAACGTTTAACGAAAAATCCTGCATCCAGCCCACAAAACCCGTGGAGGAGTCTCGGCGAGAGGCACCCCTTGTGAAGGTTGCATGTTTCTTGGCCACCTCTGGGGGGTACACCAATGTTCAGATTCAGCTTCATACTTTAGTCCACCCTACAATGCAACAAACGCATCGTTTTTGCATCCCAACACCTGAAATAAGAATTGGATCCCCAAGCAAAAAACAACACCCAGACACACACACACACACACACATCAAGGTGCGGTCCATTTACTCCATCAAACCAGGCAGAGCCCTTTGGCCGATGCTGCGAGGCTCGGGCTTCTGTCCGGCCACTCCACCACCACCCCCGTGTGCCAAATTCCCTCGCGAGCTCCGCCGCTCCGCGAGTGACGGAACCCCCAGTCAGCCCCAAGACTTGCTGGTGAGCCAGGGGATGAGTTGGAATGAGCCCGGGTTGGATTCCGTTTGGAGGGAATCCTCAAAACCGGTTCATTCTCAACACCCGCAGGCACCGGCAAGAAGAAGGCATGGGGCGAATTCGAGTGTCAACCCGGGATTGTGGGGGGCATTTAGTGAAAACCCCCCCGTGCACCCTCCCAAGCATGAACCCTTGAGACCAAACCTCAACTGCCCTCCAGCGTCAAAGAACAGAAAACAGTTTGTTGCATGTCTGAGTCAAGGGGTCATTGGAGAAAGCAAAGCCCATCCATCCAATAAGCAGCCACTCAGCTGAGGTTGGAGGCTGTTGACTCGCAAGCGCTGCTTGACTGTGCATTCTCCCATTCAATCTGAAGGGCCAAGCCCGGGAGCAAGCAAGCATCTGCATGCGCACATTGCTAAAATTTTGACCCGGAAAGTCGTGCGGTTAATCCGTATTATGTGGGTTTATCTCAAAATGAGGAATCTTCAAAGTTGGACTCCAAAACCACCCAAACAAGGCACACTTCGAAACAGCCCAGGTGATATCCCCAGCAAGCCTGGAACCCTTCCGGATCCCTAGCTCACTGCAGAGACCCCAAAACTTTCGGATTTCCCCGTAGCATTCAAACAGGGGTTCCATGGCTTCTTTGCTCTTTTGCCTCTCTCATCTCGAACGTCCTCTCTCTCCTTCTCTATCCTGCACTCCCTCTCTCCCTCTCCCTCTCCCTCTCCCTCTCCCTCTCCCTCTCCCTCTCCCCCTCTCCCCCTCTCCCTCCCCCCCTCTCCCGGCCTTAAAGCTCTGTCCTAGCAGCAGCCAGGACCATCGAGCCGCGAAGCCGTCGGAGATGTCGTACATCCAGAGGTAGACTTTGTACCTCTGAGTTGTCCAATCAATCGTCTGTGCTCACTGCACAAAAAGTTGACATGTTTGCGTTGAATTTTACAAGTTCACTGCAATAACAAATGGTAGGTGTGCTCTGGATTTGTTCAAGTTAGGGGACTCCCAAATGCTGGGCTTCCTTTTGCTTCCCTTCTTGAAGCATTTTGCAATAAGGAGGGCCCTTGTATTGAGACATACTCATATGGGCTGTTCTGTGATCCCCGGCTCAACAGTGATCATGCTTGCAAGTCTGTAGGAGAAACACAACAAGGACGTCATGTTTCAAAGAGCTGTGGACAAGGTGGTGAAACAAAAGAGAGCAATCAAGTATTCACAAACCTTGGCTGGAATTAGGACCCCAGCAAAACAATATCTTTTTTGCCTGGTTAGTGGACAACAACGGAAACCCCAAAAAAGCAAAAAACACAAAAAGGGGAGCAAATGCTGGTGAAGAAACTGTTCTCCCTGTTTTGTTTAGTGGACTTGAACAAAATGGAGCCAAGAGGATTTACCTTCGCGAAAACACCGCCAGACTGCAAGAGGTGAAGGGGGTCAAAGGAAGTCAGCTACGCCTACACCAAACGCGGCACCCCAAAGAAGGTGGCCCTGATTAGTTGCTGCAGCCAAGAAGGCAGGCGAAAGTGTGAACACACCTCGTATCCAATTCGAAGCCCCAGGCTTTGGCAACGCCCCTTCCGATGAATTCCAGGCCTCCTTTGGGTATGACACGAAAGCTTGCTTTGCGCAACCGCTACAGGTGAAATGCAGCAATGTCAAGCACTGGCAAGGCCAAGGTACCTCTTAGGTGACACTTCAATGGGTTCTAACCAATGAGTTCCTTTCGGATGCCACACACTCAAACGCATGCATCACACCCTCCCATCCCAAGCAACACGAATGATCAGCTGCTGCCTAAGGATTCAGCAGCAAAATTGCAAAACTGGCTGAGTTGACATTGTTACACCGTCGCCTTTCAAGGAAGTAACATGCTTGACATAGCCGGCAATCACATCTCAGCCATTGGGTGCACTGCACAACACAGCCAAACGCGTATGTCACACACGCAGTCTTTGTTGGTGGCCACGCCCCGGCCAATGGACTTTATATGATGCAGGCCTCAGCCCTATGACAAGTGCAAAAGGCGAAGTCTCACAGCGACTTCAGAAGAAACAAATCGGCGAAACCGCGACAACCAATCAAACAAAATTAGGCGCCTCTTCCTCCCAAACATGACGTTCAAGAAGTCGCAGTAGCTCAGAACCTGTTCGTCTGATCACTCTGGGCGTCCCTTCGGGAAAACAACAACAAACGCAAATAGCAGCGGCCGGTGAGTTCTGCGAATCAAACTCAGACCAGCACCAACAAGTTTCAGCCAAACTGATCTAAAAGGAACCCGAAGGGAACCCCTGGTCCTCACCACAGGTGCAACACAGGATCTTGGCCAAAAGGTCATGAATCTAATTTTCGCCAAAGCTGAGGCCAGGACGGGCGAGACACAGTCCGAAAGAACAAACAGGAGAACAGGTAAGAAACTTCTGGCTGCTTGTGGCTCTCTCGGATTCTTGGGCAATGGTGCCTACGCTCGCAAATTCATGAGTGCAATGTCCATTGAGCAGTTGATTTGTCTGACATGGCAATATGTAGCCAGCCTCAAGAATGCTCCCTGCTCGCGTGCGGCTGGGCCAGTTTTAAGCACGTCTGACCAGCTTGCGTCCACCAAGTCCCAGAACGCATGCCTCGTCTTCCTCCAGCACTTCCTCGCCAGCGGCATGCTGCCTGGCAGGCCACTGGGCGGATTCAGGCAGAATGTTCTCGCCTGATAAACCACTCTGCAGTCAAGAGTCAAGGTTGGCAAGGTTCTGAAAAGCCTTGCTTTTTCTGATTGATGTCTTCTCCGGCAATATGCAGTCCCCTCCCTGTGCATCTGGAATTCGTATTGGGAGGGGCCGGCCTTGAAGATGTTGAACTTGATTCTTGACGCGCATTATGGCGAAACATTTGCTGTTTCGTGCTCAATGATTTGTTGGGAGACCTGCAATGGCCATCCTTATAACAGGAGGTCGCATTGGCAAATGGGATTTTTGACTTGCTTCGGAGGGGGCATCTCAGACCGAGCGCGGGGGTGGGATGTTGAACATAGATAAGAGGGGGGGTCGTTAGGCCAAGGCTGCGGGGTGCAAATTGGCCGGAGTGTGCCAAAAAAAGGGGACAGTCTTTACTGGGGGCAGGGCTGTCCTCAGATCCACCTCTAAAAGTTTACCCTTTAGTGGGGTAAATGGAAAATCTTTCACTAAACACTGAAAGCCTCAAAACCGAAGGGGATGGCTAGGAAATGCTGGAAACCACCATCGGCAGTAAACATCCATTCGCCTGCCAGGTGCTATGGTTGGCGCTGACCATACTTGCCAGTGCAACAAAATTGACGGGGGGATTGCGTTGAATGATAGCACTGCACTCCTTGGTCAATGACAAGTCCCAGGCATGCGCTACTCCATGCTCACAAGCGCGCACCGCTGCGCGCAGCTGTGGTCGAGCAAGTCACTGCTCAACTTCTTCGTGGGCGTACTCTTTGCAGCACTCCAGCAACTTGGACGAGCAGATCATGACAATAGCTGCCCCAAATGGCCCCCGGAGATTCGTTTTGCGCGCCGATGTCTGGTGCCAGTTATGTTCTCGCAATTTCGAGAACCTCTCGCTTGCATGGGTTCGTGTTGTTGAATCGCATGATCCAGGCCTTGCCATTGAAGGTCTGCATCTCTGGGCCATGGCGAAGCAGCGCTCATGGCAAGGAGCTCGTCCTCACTCGCCCTGTGGGAAGCAAACCTGCGGCCACCAGAATCTGCTGCACCTCTTTGGAACACCTGGGTCCGACCCTCCACTGCGCGCACGTCTTGTTAGAGAGAAACGCCCGCAACATGTCATCGATCTCTTGGGCGCTAGCCTGTTCTGAGGGCAGCATGCCCAGCTTGCGCAAGAAATGCTTGTTGCCGGTGAGGTTGACGAAAATAAACATGGCTTCAGTCAGATCTGCATTCAGGTCGTCATCCATGTACCCGAGCTTGGTCAAAGCTGTGCGCGTCAAAGCGGCAGAATCCTTCAACATGAATGGGCCTCCACCCTTAAACATGCTGCGGGCCAAGCGCGACCCAAATTGTTCGGCCTTCCCCATGCCCACGCCACTCACCGGGAGAAAAAAGGCAAGCGGGCCACTGGGTGGCAACAAACTACCCGATGCGATTGCACTACTCATGGCGATTGTGGCAAGCTGAGAAGGAAACACTGTCAACCTCCCCAGCTTGTTTGCAAACCATAACTTGGCAACGGACTGAATCAAATACATGCCTTCCTCATGGTTGTAGCACCCAAGGTCTTGCAAAAATCCCATCACGGCTGTTGCTTGGGTTTCATTGTCAAATGCTGTGTATGGCGTGGCCATCTTGACATCCCCACTTCCATCGGCATGGAGCACCGCTCTGATTCTGGTTGAGTTGCGCTCTGTTGGCAAGCTTTGTACCGGCACCCTGTTTGCTTTGTAAAATCTGATCGCTTCAAACTTGGTTTCCTGAACAAAGAGCACAGCCTGAGTCCCACGCATCATACAGTCCTGCAAAGAGCTGAGAAAGCCCTTGTCTGACGAAAGCAAGGCCACGCAGCGAACACGTTTATTGCGTGCCAACGATTCAATAGCGCACTGAATGGCTTCATCATTAGCCTCGCTTCTCGCATCCTGCCCTCGCTCGACTGGTTGAAATACAACGTTCCGGCCCTGCAGGAATTGTTTGAACTCCCGACTGCTCCTTCTAGCCCCGGGTGGTCCAAATACCGTGGTCTTGACCTTGCGGTTTTGCTTTTCTAGGAGCTCGATGGCCTTCTGCATATCGCTTAGGCTGTTGACATCTCCATCTACCAATAGTTCAGTGCGTGAGCTCTTAGCTTCCGCGAGGAGATGGCCCGGTCTCTTGCGGACGGCAACAAGCAAGCTCGAAAGCGCGCAGCAGGACGGCCAGGAGCCGCCCACTGTCGGGGCGACCGGGTGCGGGACCAAGATGGGGCCATGGTACGGCCGAAAGGCGCCAGAGCAAGGCAAACTCCCAAGGGCTGCAACCATCCCGGAGCCAATGTCTCGGAAGAAAACAAATGTTGATCCAGGGGTTGACTTCAAGGACTTGGTCTGTTTCTTCTTCTTGGGTTGATACGCCCATTGATTGCTCGACCAAAATTGGCATTCAAAAGCAAGGGCAAAGCTTGAAGTCAATCCGTTTTAATGTGTTGAATAGTGCTGTTTTTTTCATGGTTGCTTCATCTCCGGCATTACTTTCACCGGCTGTTGAGCAGAATCCTCAACAAAGCAGGGTGTTTGTTACAGGAACCATTCAAGACCCAAAAAGGTTCTGGGTTCGAACTTCTGGTTAAACATGTGGCGGGGGCTTGCCACCATGTCCTGCAGCCCGATTGCCAGTCGCGCATCCAAGAGCAGGCTACAGCCATCCGAAAGTGAGCAACCAAACCGACTATATCGACTGCGTTCCACAGCTGGCAAAGGCCTCTTCCTTGCGGAGAAAGTTACAAAGTAAGCTCAAAAGAGCCCAACAAAAGACTATCTTGCTACACATTTTCTGAGTCTCAGGTGCCATCATAGCTCAGCTTCAAAGGTCTGCGTCTAGATGTTGCTTGGATCGCCCTCCACTGCACGTTGCAAGCCGCAGCAACCAATCTGTTCAAACATGGATTGAACACTGAACCCTGTGCAAAAATGGTGTCCCTTGAAGCAGCACCTCGTCCAAGTTCATGTTTCGTCTCTCTCCGCCAAAAGTCGAAATTCGGGCTTCCCAAACCTCTTTGGGAGGTCCTTTGTTTTTCGTTTTTTCCTTCTTCTTCTTTTTTAAACGGGCGACGGGTGCCCCCAAAAGAGGGTCGGCCACCCTTTTGTCTGCAGATGTTGGTAAGGCATTTAAACTTAAAACAAGGGATCCTCATGAAGTTCATGGCTTTCGCTCGTCTTACCCCGCCATAAACTCCTTCCATGCCAGGTGAAATGGTGGTCTGCCTTTGGTTTCCCTTCAAACCAACCTAAAACCTGAGAGGGACTTGTTTCCTTCACTCCAACCTGAAAGGGGTTGAAGTCTTCGCGATACACAATGTACCCACCCCAGCAACCAACCATCACGCCAGCAAACCATCACGGACTGTGAGGGTCAGCTGAAAGGGGGGTACCCTCAAAACAGGGTGTACCTCAGAATTGGTGGTGTTTTCCTGGAAATTGGTGGTGTTCCAACCAATGGGGTACACCATGCCTCAAAAAGACACCCCACTTTGTCACCTTCGCTCAAGCTGGCCGGCGCTGCAGCAGTTCCTTGGCCCACTGCTTCTCCAGGACGCCTGGAGAGTTCGACAGCGCATCCGGGGATAGGACCCGGAGGTCCGGGCTCACCCAAAAAAAACAAGAAACCTCACTTGGTTGCGCTAACGACCCCCCTTCAAAAAAGCTTTTAACTTTTTGGGGTTTAGTGGAAAACTCCCTTATTTCCCAAAAAGTTAAAGGCCAAAGTTCCAACAATAGCAGTCAAGCTCACCAAAAATCACTCAAAATCAGCCAAAACCCTTCAAGGGAAACATGGTGAAGCCCTCTGGAGCAACCCAACACGTAGCAAGCCCCAGCCAGGAAACATGCCCCAGAACACGTAGCTGAGCCTCGCATTCGGGATTCTTTCCCGCGCCCATCCGAAATGCTCTCCAGGTCTTTCAGGTCCGTAAGTGCGAGCGGGATTTACAATCCTAGACCTGGAACTTCTCCTTGCATTGCCCCGGAACGAAACGCGCGGCGCGCGGCCATCAGAACATGTATTGCAAAGTTGCAGTCTGTGAAGCCCTATGACTACACGTCTCTTGCTCAGATCTGCGCATCTTAGGCAGGAGGATGGCTGCCGGCCAGGCTAGGGGACTTGGGAAGTTTCTGCCGGGTTCTGCTTTGCCTTGGGCAACCGTGTCAGTGGGTTGCAAGGAGAAGCGGGTTGCGGGGTGGAATCCTGATGCCAGTTGCTAGTTTCCATTCGTTCCCCACCTTTTGTTGCGAGTGGCCAGCAAAAAAAGGGACATCCCTTTTTTGGAAGACCTTGAAGGGGAAGCCTTGGGAAAAACTGGTTGACAAAAAGGGCTCTGGGCAACTCGGCCGTGTTTCAGCCACTCTGGGGCCGGGTCTTGGAATTTCAATTTTCGAGACTCGAGCCCATGGTATGTGAAAACAATTTGGTTCAGCTCGCAGAAAAAAAAACAAAAACACATGGAAGCGGGTTGCGGGGGGCTAGTTTTAAGTGTGCTCGGAAGCTGAAATGTGGCTGAGCGGAAACCGGGCACGCCCAAACTTGGCACGCTAAGGCTTTAAGAGGGTTGCAGGGAGGATGTCGGAAACTCTGCATCTAGTTGTGGTGTGGGGGCGAGTCAACACGTGAGCGGCTTCTGCGGCAGAAAGTTGCGCAAAAAAAGGCGCAGCGGCAAATTGCAAGAAAACGATAGTAGCTGTAAGTTCCGGGGTTTTCTTTCACGCGCCCAACCCCGGACACTTGCATGGCGTAGCGTTTAATCATGTGCTTTAAACAAACTGCCGGATTGCGGCATGACGGGGCGGTGCTTGCGTCCACTCAGGCATTCTGACAGCACCCTTGATTGCGCAAATCGCAGCTGGGTCGGTCTTGGATCGCGCCGAATCGTGCCAAGAAGGAACCATATTTTGGCTTGTGGGGCGGGATCGCAGGCGGATCGCGACCGGATTGCGAATCAAAGTCAACCTGGAAACCGGCTTCTGCTGGGAATCTGCTGATTGACCTCACCCTCAAACCGATGTTTTCCCGTGTTGACTCGGTGTCTCACCGACTCTGCCCGCATGTTGGTCGGCTGAGCCCGGAGAATTGGAACTCTCAATCTGAACTTGTCCGCCTTTAGCTTTAGTATTCACGAAGACTATGAGTTGAACATGGCTGGCTGCCTACAGGCGCAATTCACTGGAACCCAACTTGTTTCAAACACCTTGCCCGAATATGTGGCTTCCTACGGAGAGCAGGCCTACTACGGAAGAGTACGGGAATCCGTTAAAGAGGAAACACATCATGTTTCCCATCGCCGACTCGCGCTAAAACCTCTCAGCCGCCCGCCTTGCGGCGAGGAGACCAAACGCTCGCACGCCTTCAATAGGCCACCGCTGGTCAGGCCATGGGCCTTGGACGATTAACGATTGGATCTGCCCAGCTTGCTGCGAGAGAGGCAGGGAATGAGAAATGGAACGACTCCAAGAAAATATCATGCCCGATTTTACTTATCGCACCAGCAAGCTAGTGCAGCTTCCCTCCAATTAGTGGTTGGGATTGGAGGAAGTCTGAAGACTGGCTTCGCAGCGACCCTGTATGACCCTGTGATCAAAGTGCTGCCACCCAACACACGTTCTGTTCTGCCTTTGACCCGTAAAAAAAGTGGTCTGCTCATGGTGTCATGGTGTCAGCTTCGAACAACATGTCTTTCCGTGAAGGCTCCGCTGGGCACGCCATTGTGGTGTGTTTCGGGGGGACGCTGGCAGGAAAGGGAACCCTTATTAGGGTTGGCCATATTCAGTGCAAAACCCAGCAACAAATGGAAATAGGATGCCTCTAAACTGAAAAACTGGGCCCTTTCTTGGAGGGTGAAATCGAGATGAGATTCACAACCAACATCAGCTGGTTTCTGCTTGGGAAACGCGCCAAGCTGCTAAAAGGGACACCCCGCAAAATACCAACCCTGTTTATAAAGGTTTCGAACATGAACGTCCAAGGAGAACCATGGAGGGGGGATCCTTAAATAAGCTCCATTTGCTTAAGTCCCCTGGAAAAAATGTATATTTCCAGTAGTGATAGATTCCCTTTGAAACCAACAGGGCAAAATAAACAAATACTCTTAGCCAAATGGAATTGAAAAGCCAAGTCCTGCTGGCTTCCTTTCAACCTGAAGTCCCCGAGCCGCCTCCAAAACTCGCCATCTCCTTGCACAGCGGCCCCGCCGGAGTCGGTGACCGCGGTTTCGAAGTGCATCTGCATGCGGCCCAGGACCTCACAGTTCAAGTGGCTTGCCCAAAGCTCCGGGCAAAAGGTCCCTTCTGTGCACAAAATCCAGCACTGGGATGGATCAAATAGGCCCCTCCCCTCTAAAAAGCACAGAGAAACAAGAACATTTCTTTTTTTAAGGAAGAGAGAACCTGCGGGTGTATGAGGGAGGCGTCGAGTTTTCGAAGGACTTTCCTTTGTTCGTGAACGTGAAACTCAAATATGGCGAGAATGTGCCCTAAGGAATGCATCCCATGGTCGGCACTGCTATTGAGATAATTGACGATGCCTCGGCTCCCACCTTGCAAGCCAGATGAGTCACAATCAAAACCTGGTACAAAAATGGTGACCCCCGAACCATGTAAAGAATTGGAAAGGCGGCCGCAACCATTTCCGGCTGGGACTGCCCCTTACTAACCTTCATCTACCCGGGTTTTGATTGTGGCTCAGATCTAAATGGTTGGTTCAGTGCCCTTTGTTCAGGCCCATGCCATCTTTTATGTAGCGTGACCTGTACTTCTAGCACCAGCCTGTTTACGCATGACAAGAAAGATCTGATTTGTCGCTGTCACAAGTTGGCAACAGCTTGATTGCAACGCGCTCAGCCCTTTTTTAATTCTGGTTGATTTCAAAGGGAAGCCACCGAACAAAAACAACGCCACGGTGCCTGGTTAATTCCAATGTGGGCAAAGGGCTGAAACCAACATGCATCATCCACTTTTGGGCCAACTGTAGGTGTGAAGCCCTCAAAAGCAGTCCCGTAAGACAAACCTATCTCGAGATATCATGCCGCATGATAGCTCGTGATTAGTCTTCTCGTGAGTGTGAACAGAACGCTTCACACAAGGAAAAGTGATCTTAGTACTGTTGAGCGAATCAACGTGGCGCAAAGACAGGGAACGTACGTATTCTACTGTTTGCAGGCCATCCAATCACCAGTGTGAACTGCTGACCGGCCGAAACTCAGACCCCTGCAACGCGTTAACGAACTAGCAACAAAGCAAACAACTAGAACAGGCAAGCCAAGTCCGGTCAAGTCCCAACTTGCGTGTGTACGTTTTGTGCGAAATACCCTTTTCATGTTCTATCCATGTTGGTGTCAAGGGCGACCACAAGGAAAATCGCCCACATGTTTGGTTTTTTTAAGGTAAACACCAAATTGGCTTCAGCGCGTTCCAAGCCCAACCTGCAAAGCCTCCGGAGGGCTCTCCCTGTCCCGTGCCTGGGAATCCTTCTTCAGTGCGGCAGTGAACTGCTGGTTCACCTGGCATGAGACCTTCAACACCCCCAAACATGTGCCCGACCAAAACACCCTCTTGGTTTCCCTTCTCAATAACCCTTGGAGGGATGGCGCGCGCCGTCACTTAAACTGGAAATTCGCATGTTTCACATAGAGCCCGGACCTGGCTTATGTTTGCCCACGTATATGTGACAGTCTTTACAAGGCAGGCTGGGATGACTTGTGATCGAAGCATCAAGTGGCTGCCGTGACCCCAAAGGGTTAGCATGCCTTTCTCTTGCTGAAGCTGCCGGGGCCTTCCTTGAAGACGCTGCGCAGTGTCCAGGGAGGGCAGAATAGGGCAAGCCGACAGCGCCGCCGAAAATGCGGCCCTTCCGTTCAGTCTCACAGACAGAGGGCAAACGGCCAGCGCGTTCAAGGCTAGCCCAACATCACCTGTCAACTCAATCAGGCCGAACCCCTTGCTAAACACCGACTGCCTGGACATCAAAGCGCGAGCGACGGTGACTAGCGCAGAACGCGTCTCCAGCAAGCATAGTTTCAGCGTGAGACATGCCACCTAAGCCCTCGCAAAGCAAAGCTTCTCTCAAACCACGGATCGACCAGCGACCAAAACGCGCGGAAGACGCGCGCGGCGATCTGCGAAGAAAGGCGCGAAGCAGCTTGGGCAGCGCGCGCTGCCATGCGCTGCCTCAGACCAGAAAGTAACGCGCGCAGCCCTCCCTTTTTGAGGCGTCGGCACTCAACTGCTTTTGACTATTGGTGCTAGCCGGTCGCGTTTGGGCCTTTTCTTGAGCAAGCTGCGGCAACTCAGCATTCAGCGTGGGTACATATTTGCGCCCCCAAAGTGTTTTTTCTTGATACCGCGTTTCATTCTCCAGCCGGAGTAAAGTGACACTGGCAAGGTGACTTCGCAAACGCTTCTCGCGGGCTCTTACTTCTTGTGGCAACACCCTCTGCGAAGTCCAGGCGCACACCCTCATGACATGAGCCCGGACCAGCCCACGCACGCAACTTGACGGTTGATTGTCAGAATGACCCCCCGAATGCAAGTGAGATCCCCAGCAGCCAATCTTTGCTTTTCTGAGAACCGGCAAGGTTTGGGCTCAGGGCGTGACCCAAGCGACCAAGTCATGAATCCTCAGTTGCTCCAAACGAGCCCTTGAATGATAATGAAGAACCCGGGTCACGGAACATTTCAGTCGGGCACCGCTGTTTCTCTCCCGGACCCGGTTAGGCTCCCAGGGCAGGGGAAGCCCGCCAATGCCATGGCTCTGCTTCGAAACCTGCGGGGCCATGGGAAAACAAAACACATCAAGTATGTTGCTTCTCGAGAAAACGACGGGCTAACCAAGCGAAAGAGTCCAAACACGAGGGTTCCCAATTGGCGCCTTGCAACAGCTTGCAGGGACATGACCTATTTAAGGGGTCTCCGATGATATGTTCCGGATTGGGTGTTCAAGCTAGAGGCTTCGCAAGCCCTGGTTCAAACATCAAACAACTCTATTGAGAGACGATCACAATTTCGAAACCCAGCGAAGTTCTCGCGGATCGCCTTCGGGTCAAAGATTGTTAAAGGAACTTCAGCTATACACCTTGTCAATCCCGGGTTCCACACAAGCCCCAAATAAGTAGAAGGGTGTGCGAGGTTTTGAAGATGTTCTCAAATGGGTTTCCCCAAGCCACCCAGACCTGGTGCCCCCGCTTTCTCCCCAAAGGGGGTTGGGAGCCTCACCAGCGTTTAATCCTCCCGGGCCTCCATGGCTGCGTGGTAGGAGGCGTGGTCCCGCTGTAAGGCCCAGAAGTGGTTCCTTGGAGCGCGGTTTTCAAGGAACAGACTGCAGGGGGGGTTGCACCCATCCTTTGGCGAAACCCAACAACAAGCGTGCCACCTGTTTGAGGTGTAGAAAAAAGAATGGGTTTGACAGCGGGCAAGCAGCAAAAGCAAAGCGACCCTTTCAGTCTTTCAGTGGGCTGTTTTGAAAAGGGCACGCATGGAAACCAATGGTGACAAAGGTGGGTTTCGAGCCAGCTTTCTGGCGGAACTACGCTGCAATGTGTGTTGGCGCTACTTGGCAGCGGAGGGACACAGACCTCAGAAGGGCAGTTCTAGTCAATATGCGCCATGACGAGGAGAAACGAGCTGAGACAAACCCAAACCATTGGATTGTTCATGCTGCTTGAACGTCTCCTTTGAACAGCCCGCGCCGAGCTTATCCATCGCTTGGTTGGTCTCAAACCCCCTTCAACACGCTAAACCTTCTGCTGGTCAGCGGCACGCGTGTCAAATGAATCCGGGTGTGTGCGCCGTAATTCGCGTATGCAGGCTCGGACAAGGTCAAGCACTTCTTCAGGTTGTACCAAAAAGAAACCAAGGAATCCAGTTTCCGTAGCCCATCTCCGAACTTCGGGCAGCGCTTTCCTAAGCAGCTGCCCAAGTGCAAGCACAGGCTGCATTCAGCTTCTTGCGCCAGGGCCATGCGTTTGCGAGTGCCCTGCGCTACACGGACATTCCGCAGTAATGGAAACCCCGGATTGATAAACCCCCGGCTGGTTCACGGTTTAGCGGGGGATTCATCCCTAGAGGGTCGCTAAGCAACTCTACAAATCGTCAAAAGCCTCCGCAGCCAAGCGAAACAGAACACACACAACCTCTGCGTGCTGGGGGGAGGAGCGTGTGTGCAAATGTGTCCGATTTACAATCTGGGCGCAAGCGTGTGTGGGATGCATGCAAGGCTTGTTGCCCCAGAGACACAGGGATTGCGTCGTTTGAATGCAAGAAATACGTGAACACGCAAGCCTTGGTCACTAGCACCATTGACCAACAGAGTAATGCTGTTGGTTGAGGTTCGAGGGTCACTATGCAAGTAGAGAGAATACCCGAAGCAACATGCAGTGGAAGCAGCAGGTGGTGACGACCAATCAGTAAAGCTTTATTAATTATTGTGTTTGTGGCACGCCTGCAGCACACATTGAAAGCAAAACAAGGTCATTGTCGGGTGAGATAGGCGTCCACATTTGCAATAGCAGGGAGCAGGCGCAATATGTCAACACACTCAAAACAACCGCACCCATCGCACCCCACCCAACCCAAACATACCGACCCACCAACCAACCTAATCCCACACATCCCCACACGAAACAACCAAACCAACCGACCGACCAAGCCACTGACCAACCAAACTTCAAACTCAACTAACCTAACCATATAATGAATCATTCTATAGCTAGGTTAGTTGAGTTTGAAGTTTGGTTGGTCAGTGGCTTGGAATGAATCAACAAACACCAAATCTAACACAACACGCAACACCAAGATCCTGGCCAGCAGGTCATGTCCACCGCGCCCGAGCCTCGCAGGTCCATTTCCTCGGATCGCGAAAAGTGGCTCAAGGCTTGAGACCATGGAAGGAAGCTGAACGCCATGCCACTGTACTCAGATCCCCCGCTAAAAGTGGCTAACTTTTCGTGGGTTAAATTCGGAAACTACCACTAACCACTGAAAGGATCTAAAAAGCGAAGGAACCGGATGGCTGGCAGCCACGAAGTGTATTACTGCCACTACCAGCCTATTCCTGCCACCTCCTGCTCCTGCTGCTAGGACTGCTAGGACTGCTACTGCTACTTCTATTTGCGTCTGTTTCGGCCACTTCGGATCGATCCCCTTCGGATCCCTGGCCTTGGCCACGGCAGCTGCTGTGAGCTCCAAGAGTTGCAGGTCCTGCCGATCCGTGACGAGCAACCCCACTTGCTTTAACCCGGGGGGTCCAGTTACTATAGTAGGTAACGTTGCCATTTTCCTTTCTTGATTTTTAACAGGCCGGTTCTCCTGGTTACCTGCTACACACCAGCTTTCCTTTTGATGATTTTTTAGGCTGGCTCCCTTTGCCTGCCAAAAAAAGGTCACGGAATCATGTGCGGCCGCAATTTGACTTGGGACGGGCACAAATCGATCCCCCCGCCAAAAAAGAAACGCAAGCGCCTCTGAGTCTGGCCACTTCTTGCGCCAGCCGCGCACCAAGACCTGGGCATGCAAACAAACAAAAAGTAACCTGGGCCTTTTGCGCCAGTGAGAATTTCTTCACTCTGGCCATTGAAGATGCAAGTGCTATGAACCTGTCGTGGCAGGCTGCGCATGGGTAGCAGAAGGCGACTGGCATGTTTGACAAAGACATATAAAAGCGTGGCTTGATACCTTCGGGCCTCCAGTCAGCTTCCTTTTAGGTTGGAGGGCAATACCCTGCCAGGATGAAAACCTCAACTAACGTTCGGGACACTCAATGCGCAAAACTGACAACAGCCTTCCGGTCCACGCACGAAGGGCAAAGTGCCCGTTAAAGCCAATATGGCTCTGGAGGCGACCCAGGTTTGAGATGTTAGTCACTTAGGACACGACGATGGATTCCCAAGCAACTCGTGCTTGCTCCCTGAATCGGTTGAGCAGCAGCAGCGTGTATAGAAATGGACCCCAACAAGAAGATGGACCCCCCCAACAAAAAAGCAGTTTTCCGCCTGGCTTCCCTTTCAACAAAGGCGACAAGGGTACCCTGGAAGAAACTCACTTGTCCACGGAAATAAACGGTGGTCACCTTTTGGCACCTTGACTATTGACCAGAACAAGGAAAACAAGAGGTTAAAAGGATTCCAAGAAAACATCAAGGACGTCTTTTAAGGATTGACCACGATTGACCACAGGGAAATAAAGGATTCAACTATCCTATCGCTTGGGTAAGTGTCCGACCCCAAATCATGGCCTCCCGTGCAACCGGCCTCCTTTGTCAACTTCCCATCTGCCGCGCGCCTTGTGACCCGGCGACTCAAGAAAGGGCACCTCACTTTTACTTGGCTGTGCGTTTACATCCAAAAGACAGACAAAAGATATCATTCGCGGTTGGCTTTTGTTAAGGGGGCAGAAAATGGTGGTTGTCCTTTTAATTTTGCCTTGCAAACCACCCTGACAAGGGGCGCCGACTCAAACAAAGACACGCCCCACATCCATGTTGACAAGGTGAAGGACACGAAAATCCTCCGGCCGAGGAAGGAAACAAAGATGCGAAGCAGCCTTGGGTTGTTGCGATGGGGATTCCCGATCAATGCAACTGGCTTTCCCCCAGAATGCAACTGTCGGTGATTGGCTTCAACGACGGGTTTGGACCCGTCGGCAGAAAAAAAATCCGATGATCCTGAGTGGGGTTTCTGAAAAAGATCAAACCTGTTGGCTCCGGAAAAAACATATCAGGTCCAGGAAGAAAAGGCGTGCGAACTTCAGCCCAGAGAAGGAACGCATAACTCTTCGCTTGAAGAGTAGGGTTGGCTGGTATCAGAATCCCCTTCCCATTCCCACAGCCACCACCCCCTCCCCCCCCCCACCCCCCCAGCAACAAGGGAAAACGTGTAAATATCTTTCTATAGTGGCAATATAGAGGGTATGGAGGGTAGTGGACACTCGCAGCATATCATTCACTTGGCCGCGAGCTCTTTGAATGCGCTTCGGAAGTTGTCGAAGTCCATGTCTTGCTCCGCCTAGGCCAACAGTTGGATGTGTCTGAAAATTGGGGACTACAAGTGGCTGGTTTCCATCCCCAGCTTTGTTGCTTGATGGCCGATGCCTGGCCAACGGTGGGCTGATGCTGGCTGTTGGTCACTTCGTGGCTAGTCTTGAAGAACTGTTCAAGTCTTGGGCATCCCCACGACGTTCAAAAAAAACACCCTTTCTTGGTAGATGATGTTCATCCTGAAGCAAGACCCCGCATCCTCCATCTCCGTCGCCCGCCGATCGTCGCTTTCTATATAGTCTTGAGTTTCACCTCTCGCGAGGTGAAGTTGAGGGTATTGCTGGTGCGATAGGCAGGGAATGAGAAATGGAATGCCACCTTTAAGGACTCTTTAAGAAAAACGCCTGGTCGTTCCATTTCTCATTTATTCAGTATTGGCAATATTGACAATTCTACATTTGGTATTGCCAAGACTTGACCTTAGATTCCCTGTACTTAGTTTCGTGTTGGCAATGCTACAGTACCAAGGCTCCATCTGAAACTGTCAGGAAGTAATGGCAGGCCGTGATTCGTGAACCCCCTCTGATGAAAGACGCCCGGTTTTTCGCTTTTCGCCAGCCTTGTTGACCTTGAGCGGGGCGGGTGTGGTTTTCTAATCAAGTTCCAGCATTACTTGAGCATTGCCTAGGTCCAAGGCCTTCTTCAGGAGGGTGTTTGTGTCTTTGCACCGAGCCGATGTTTTCAGAATGAACCAACTTGAATTGAACAATGCGGCCACGCGTGTGGCCACCCGCAAAGCATTCAGATCCCCACAGGCCTTGGTCCAAGTTGGCCATGCCAGCTGGTACCCTTTCTTCCTTCGTTTTTCAGAGAAACCGCAAGTAGAGCCAGAGTTCTGAAATTCAAAATCCCTTTTTGACACGTTGTCCGTTTCATGGTGGGGTGCGTATGAAAAGCATATTTTCCCCCTATGGAGCCCGGCTAACAACTTAACTCACCGTAAAACCGTCACTGGGCGACTCGAACTGCATGAGTCCGAGACTCCCGCGGCGGAGTCCACAATACGAATGGTGCGCGTGCGCTTCGTGCTCAGGTTGGTTTGCGTCATGTGCCTCACAGGGTATCAAGCATCGATCTGCCATTCCCGACTGTCCAGCTTCATGTTGGTTGGTGGGAGGGTACCTCGGTCCTCCAGTACAGAGGTTAGAATAAGGGTACCCCGTTTTTCTGTAGTCTATTTTAATCGGGGAACCCCCCAAAAAAGGGAAAAAGGGGACTACTGGGGACCTAGTGAAATAACAAGTGAAGGACCTTCATGGCTTTTGCCTTACCCCGTCGATAAGCTCAGCACAAAATGGGCAGCTTGCAAATCAAGGGCCCAGCGCCTCCAGAACCCAGCCAAACGGCTCAAGAACTTCTCAGCATGCCCCGCATTCCGGAGTCCCTGTGAACGCCATCTGGTATGTTGCCACAGGCCGATCTCAACTCTCAGCTTTTTTGACTTCATTTACACTACCTGCATATACATAAGTCTACTCTTAAACTGGACATCATGTCACCACATATATATATATAATGGTCTAGGAGAAATGCCCCGAAGCAACAAACGGATTTCCATTGACATGCATCAACCATTTTACTACTATCCGAGGTTCTACGTTCTTTTTTGTTGGGTACGCGCGAAGACTGCGTGCGGTGCCTGCGTGCTAACAGCCGCACCCCCCCTTCAACCCCTTCAACCAGCCCACTCCCACGCAACACGCAGCAAAGAGCGGCTCCAGTCTTGACCCGGTCACATTCAAGCCTCCAGGCCGGATTTCCAAATTTTCAAAACCCGGTCCAGTGGAACTAGTACGCAGTGCTGCAAAGAAGAGGTTTCAGGAAGCTACTATGTGGCTCACGTTTTTTAGCATGCGTTCTGGCTGGGTTGCAAAGCCACCCAAACCCTGCAAGACACTAGCAGCTTGCTCCATCAACACCCCACTGCGCCGCCCAGCCTTAAGTCAATGTGGTACTCCACACCTTGCGCGTGCAAGTTGCGGACCCCCTTGTCATTCCCAAGACTCGGCTTTCACGCCTGCGAAACAGAAGCCCAGCCAACTTGCGATCCCAGTTCCCAGCCAGGCCCAGGAAAGCCAGGTGAAAAACCGCAGTGCTGAGCCTCGGCCGATTTTCTGTCGTAACCAACAATTTGTAGAGGGTGTGAACCCTGAGTTTTGTGGGTCGGCGAACACACCTGCGACTGTGGAGCCCTTGATGCGAGAGGTTCTTTCCAAATAGTTTACGCAACTTGTCTCAAAATGGTGTAGCCTTTTGGTTGGCATTTGAAGGGCCAAAAGGAAACCAACTGCTTTGAAGGGAACTTCTACTTTGAGACACCCACGTTTTTATCAAAAACCACAGAGTCGCAACCCTTCTCGCCTCTAGCACGGATGCTGAACTCTTGCCCGCCTGCTTCCTGCGCCGAAAGCGGAAGATTCCTTCATTTAGGTTTGGAAGTCTGACATCTGCCTTCACCCAAGGGAAATAAATCCGCTACACCGCAAAAAGATACATGCATGCATGCATACATGCATGCACACTGACACACACACACATAACAAACAAGTATACAAACATACACACAAATGACAAGCAAACAAACAAACAAACAAAGAAACAAAGCAACAAGCAAGCAAGCAAGCAAGCAAGCGAGCGAGCGAGCGAGCAAGCGAGCAGGCGAGCAGGCAGGCAGGCGGGCAGGCAGGCAAGCACGCACGCAAGCAAGCACGCAAGCACGCAAGCAAGCAAGCAATCACGACTCTTCTTACCCAATCATATCTTCGATGTAACATTGCTTGTGAAAGGGGCGTTTCCTTCTATCAGGTTGTGGGGGTTAGGTGCTGCCAAGGGCCAGCGTCAAGACCTGAGGTTCGAAGTAAAGAACTTTCCTGTGCATTATTTCGCGAAGGGCCTTGGCTAGCGCGCAACATGCGGCTCTCCTTCTTGCTCACGATCTGAAGGCTCTCTGCGGGAGCAAGCCTTAGCGTAAGCATCACCATTCAACTAAAACATTTGGGCTTTCGCATCCCGCATTTCCCTCAATTTTCTACTTGGTCGGCACGCTCGAGCCTAGTAGAAAACCACTTGTCAATTCAATGATTGTCTGCTTCGCAACAAAGGCAGGCTGACGAACCCCCCCCCTGCTAAACGCTGACTGCGCTGTGCAACGAAGCACGCGCGACGGTGACTAGCGCAGAACGCATCTGCGGCAAGCTTATGGTGATAGTATAAGACGTGCCACTTCGGCCCGCAAAGCCAGCTTAGCTTCTTGCAAGTCGGTGACCGACGTGGCTGATGGAAGGGCCAGCGCCCGAAACGCGCGCACGGCGCTCCCCGCACAAAAGCGTGAAGCAGCTTGGGCAACCCCGGCGAGAAAGTTAAACGTCGCGCGCCGCACCGGCACTCAACTGCTTGAGCTGGATTGCTGCCAGTGGTCTTCGAAGCTGCGGCAGCTCAGCTCTCAACAAGGCGGACTTCTGCTTCCAGAGTGCGCGGCACGGGCTCGTTGTCCCTGCCGCACTATGTCTGCAAACATGGATGTCCTGCGTCGGGCCTCCCTCAAACTTCCCCCATGCTGCACAGCCCAGTTTCCAACAACCCCACAAATAACATGTTTCCTTCCTTTTTCAAAGTGCGCACCGGACAGGCGGGCTGGGGCCATGTTAAAAATCACCAAGAAGGGGCGAAACCAAAAGCTCCGAAGGCCGGCTTTAGGAAAGTAAAACAGGTTTGCTCCCATCAGACGACTGCTGGGGTCCGGTGGCTCAAGTGATCACGCTGATCCGGGTTTTGTGGAGTGTGCGTGACCTCAAGTTTTGTTTTCGAACCGTTTTCCGCACCCGCACAAAACATGGGAGTTGATTTGCATTCTTCCGGAACCCCAGGGAACATGATGGAAAAAACCGGGGAGCTTTGCCACGTCCAGAACTGAACACTGGCCATCACACATGTGCAAATGAGCAGATCTTTCATTCCCTGGGACGCCTACAAATCGATCGCCTTCGCAGGGGGAGGATTAGGACTAGCAAGGGCTTGTAAGGCTGTCTCTTACGCTTTAAGTGCCGCTTGGTTGTAGGTGACCCTCGAATTAAGAGGGCTAGTTGATTTTTGCATCGTGCGTGTCACGCGTTGGCTTACGGGGTCGTTAATTTCGATATGGATAATTTTATTGGAGCACAACCGTGTAACATGATTCAGGGCCAAGAAAAACCTCAACAGATTGGCGGCCTGGCAACTCCAAAATGCACGACTCAAGGTGGACCAGAGCCATTTTCCTAGCGGCGGAACTCCACAACTCCAAAACCAACCACTATCCACGAAAGAAAGCGCTGCCTCAAGTATCCTTGGAGCCCCAGGTGGGTGCTTGCCTTTCCCTTGTGAAGCATGCCAATGGCAGATCAAGCCACAAGTTCATTGAATGGGGCTCACTTGCACAGGAGTCCCAATGTGAGCCCGAAAAAATACTTGGTTCCAGATATTGCTTTCGGTGTCACGTAGTGCCTGCTGGATGATGTTTTTGGTTGATGCTGTTGTTGGTGATTTGGCTTCTTGGAAGGTCGGGATCAACAGGGGACATAGCACTGAACACAAAGCTCCATGATTAGAGAAAGTCACAATACTCATGCAGAACTGATGTGGTTGCTCCCCCCCCCCAATTACCCCCGAAAACAATCTTCGCAGAAAGAAGACTTCCTCAGATCGTACTGGAGTGAAGACTGCATCTGAGTTGGTGTCGAGGGCGGGAAACCGACTGAGGTAGTCGAGACGGCTCGAAACCTGAAGTTCTGGGAGTGGTTTGTTTCTTGAGTTTGGGACCTTTCTAAGGGGCCCTGGTTGCAGTCTATTGCGTGTTTAAGTTTGGCTGCGGCTGGAAGGTGCTTCAACAACATGCTGCGATGTTCTGCCCAAGTCAGCATCCGCCGTTGAGCCGAGGCGTTGGCTGCTTCCAGTCCCCAGCCAACCAAACCTGCACCACTTGCGCCTCAGGCAAAGCGATGCGCAAGCAGAGCCGTCAGGGTCCATCTGCGGGTTCCACGCGCAAGAAAGCTGCAGAACCGCTGAGTGATAAATGGCAAATCAGTCTGCAACCATCTAAAACCTGGGGCTCGTCTTTTTGCCCTACAGCATCGTGAAGGGTTCAACCAAAGAAGCCGCGTGGCAGCTCGCACATGCGCGCATGCAGGGGCACACTTGCACAAGTAACTCGCACCAGCACACTTGCACGAGCAAATTCGCATGAGCACGCCTGCTCGAGCAACCTGGCACGAGCACATATCACGAGCAATCTGGCATGGGCACACTTGCACGAGCAAACTCGCACAAGCACAGCTGCGCGAGCAAACTCGCATGATCGCACCTGGACGCACAAACTAAACGAGCAAACATGCAAGAGCACACCTACACCTGCACGAGAAAACTGGCACGATATATTTTAAAAATCATGTTTCAAGGCGGCGCGGTAAAACAAAACCCACCTTGCGAAGATGACGTCTGGTGCAGGAAACACATGAGGACTTTTCCTACTCTTTTTGCGGCGCGCACGCCCTGCGGGGATTCGCGTGGCGATATGCAAAACCTGGAGACTTTGCCTACTTTCTGATTTGCGCACGCGACCCTCTGGAGGGATTCGCGTGGTCGATGTGCAAAAGACTTTTGCTGCTTTTTGGGCCACCCGTTCTTCTATGGGTCCTTTTTTGTGGTGGTTTTAAAGGGAAACCCACCATTTGTGTGGGTCCAACACAACTCCAACACTGTTGCTTTCCAGCTGCTGCGAACGTTGGGGACAATTCCCCTTGCCTGACAAACAGAAAGCCTTTAATCGTCATCCACAAGACGGTGGAAAAGGACAATTCGGAAGTCA